TCAATAAAACATATACATAAACAATACTATATAAACAAATAATGTTTACTAGTATATACCATGTTTCTACAACAAAATCTCCCCCCCCCCCATAGGAAGACCCTGCATGTTTTCTAGGCATAAAATGAAATTAAGCCCCTCCCCCAATTTTAGGCCTATTTTTAAACATGAGAAATTGGGGAGGAGGGCGGGGGGGAACTTGCTGTTAGGAGCGCCCTGTGGGCAGCCACGCCTCACCACCAGCCCACTCCTAATGGCCAATCATGGCAGAGTGTGAAGGGCTCCCTACCCCCACCAAGCACCTTTGCTGCAGACCCGGGTATGGTGCTAGTTGCAGGCCGGGTCAGCAGGCAGGCGGTGGTGGCGTGGATGTTGACCTCGGCAGGGCACTTTAAATTGAGAGACCTTCGGCTCCCGCCGCTGCTGCTTCCTCCGTCGCTGTTGCTTTCCCTTCACATTCCTCCACTGGCAGCATTTCACCCACTTCTTGGGTGGGGGAGCCACCTCTGTAGCTTCCATGGTTCCCTAGTGCTTTTCCATTATTTTATCTTTTAAATGTTTCCATTAATTCCATCATTGTAATTTTCCCTTCCAACATAATTTTAATTTCTTCTGACACTTTAGGTAGTTCCATCTTCTTTAGATATTCCTCTATTTCTCCTTTTCCACTTGTTCTTCTTTATATAATTCTCTATAATATTTATGTATTATTTCTTTCTTATCTTCATTTCTATAACACAACTTCCCTTTATCATCCATTAGTTGAGATATCCTTTTCTTTTCTTTCTCTTTTTTCAGTTTATACACCAACCATCTTCCTGGCTTATTTGCATTTTCAGAAAAGTTTTGTTTAGTATATTTTATTTTTTGTGCTAGTTCTTCTTTATCTATTATTTCCATTTTATGTTTTGTCAGTCATTTTATTCTGAATTTCTTTTTTGCAGATTTTTTTGTAATTCTGCTTTCAGTTTTTTATATTCTTCTTCTAACATTTTTGTGCTTGTCTTTTCTTTCAATTTCTCTTTCCAGTATATGTTATTGTTGGTCCTCTTATATAAGCTTTATCTGTATCCCACACATTTTGTAATGAGGTTTCTTCTTTCTTATTTTGTTCGAAGAAAATTTTTAATTACTTTTTCATACAGTATATTCAATATATTCTTTTTCTCTCAGTATTAGATTGTTCATTGTTCATCTTGACCTCTTCTTTTGTCTTTTCCATATTACTTTAATTGTATTATGATCTGCCCATACATTTGTTTCAATGCTTATGTCTTGTATAATAGCAATTATCTCTGTTGTTGCCCATATCATATCTATTCTGGACCAAGATAAATGTCTGTTTGAATAAAATGTATATTATTGCTATTCTGGATATCTTTCTCTCCATGCTTCTTGAACTGCTAATTCTTCTGCCATTTTAAAAAATGATAGATAGTATTTTTCGATTCTTTTTGACTTTTGTGTTTTATAGTCCTTTTTCTACTATCTACTATTGTATTGTAATCTCCAATAACACAAATATATTCATATTCCAGTTCTGTTATTTTTTATGTAATTTGTCATAAAATTCATCTTGTCTTTCATTTGGGGCATAAAAAGCCACTAGTTATGTCCGTTTATAGTTCATCAATATTTCAACTATCAGTACTCTCCCTTCATTGTCTTGGTAAATTAATTCTGTTTTTATACTGTCTTTTATATAAAATGTTATTCCTCTTTTGCTTTGTTGTGCCAATGTAGTGTATAGTCTTCCAATCTTACGGTGGTCTAATACTTTCTCATATTGTTTCTTAATATGCACTTCTTGCAAACAAATTATATCCAATTTTAGTTTCTCTAATTTATTAAATATTCTTTTCCTTTTGATTGCCAAAATTTAATCCATTTATATTAATCATCATTAACTTAATTTCTTCATCCATGGTCTTATTTGTGGTATGCTCTAGTTGCCCTTGTCACTCTCATCTCTCTTTGCTCTCTTGGTTTCTCTTCTTCCCTGGTTGTTCTCTCTTCCTGCATTTTTTCTTCTTCTCTTTGTTGTCTTTCCTCCCTCTCTGCAGTTTCTTCTTGCAGTTTTATTTCTCGCATGTTCTCTTTTCACCTTCATATTCTCTGATGTATTGGTCATAAAATAGTTCTGCTTTCTCAATGGTATCTAGTCTGTGTCTTTGCTCTCATCAAGTCACTATTATTCCCTCCGGTATCAGCCATCTAAAATTAATTTGTCTTTTAATCAAGCATTTTGTCAAAAACTGATATTCTCTTCTCAGATCTCTTACACTTCTTGGTATTTGTTTCAACACTGTTATCTCCTTTACTTTATATTTCAATGGTTCATCTTTCACTGCCTTTAATATCTCTGTTCTTATGGCCTTCTTTGCAAATCTAATATGTACTTATCTGGTAGCTTATTTTTCATTCCGTATCTGGTCTGAACTCTGAAGATTTCATCCACATCATATATCATTTTCTCTTTTGTCTCTTTTCTGGCTGCTGCAAGTAAGTCTGTCATTATGTCTGCTAAGTTCTACTTTTTTTCTTCTATATTTTGGAATCTTAGATAATAGTCAGTCTTGTCCATCTCCAACATTATAATTTTCTTTTCTTTAGTTTGGTCAGATCTTGATAATCTGAAATCCATTTCTCCTACTTTTTGTTCTATTATAGAAGTTTTTTCTTCCATTTCCCCCATTCATTCCTCATTCCATCATTATTTGTTGGATATTCTCTATTTCCCCTTCTACATTATCTACTTTTCCTTCCATCTTCCCTACTTTTTCATCCACTTTCCCTATTTTGTCATCCATTTTTGCCATTTGATCTTGCATTGTTTGAAGTATTGCTTTAATTTCCGCCTGCATTGTCACTGCCTTTCCTTGTTGAATATTCAAGTCAAGAGAATTCTGCCATCTAGGAGTGGATGTCGCAGAAGATGAGGCTGAGGATAGTGCAGATGTCACTGTTTTTTTCATCTTGAAATTTTTGACTAATTTTCTCTTATCAATTTATAGTCCACAAGATCTTTCCCCAAACAAAAGAAACTTTCTTCAGGTTCTTCTATACTTTAATCCAATATATTCCCTAGTAATAATACTGCAATCTGAGAAGATATATAAAAAAGAAATCATCAAGAGAGCTCAGTAAAAATGGGAGAGCCCCCCCCAAAAGGAAACATTAAAAAAGAAAGAAGAAAAAAAAATTAAGTCCAAAAATTAATTCTACCAATAAAAAGGAGAAAGAATAGTGCAGTCCAAATTAAAAAATAAGTCAATATCCATAGGAAAGGAAAAAGGAAAAAAGGAAAAAAATTAAAAATAAGGAGTGAAAAAAGAAAAACCTTTCACAAATATCGACTAGGAAGGAATAATTAAAATCCAGCTGCAAAACTCTTGTGTCACCGCCTCTCAATGTACAGTCTCACTATTTCTCGTTACTGTCTTCCACAGTGCAATCTGCCACTCTATCCAAACAGTTTACACAGGAAAAAAAAGAAAATAATAAGCAATTAATTGAAAGGAGTTCTGGTTTCTGTTTCTTTGTATCTTCTGTTTCTTTTAGTGTCCAAGGATTACACTTTTTGTAATACAAGTCCTCAGTGTAACCTTCTATCACTGTAGATAATTATATCTTATTTAGTAATCTTTCTGGTCTCAAGGCTGGTATTCCTTCCTCCTTTTCACATATATTTTCAGTTTCCCCCCAGTAGGTAGCAGTGTTGCACTGCTTTCCCTTTAATTTAAAATGTATTTATTTATTTATTTTATTTGTCAAGCAAGTATTAGATAACAGATATAAGTATAAGCATGGTTGTGAATACATGAAATGGATACGAATAAAAAAGAAACAATATGACAGGGACGATAGGCACGTTGGTGCACTTATGCATGCCCCCTACAGACCTCTTAGGAAAGGGGTGAGGTCAATAGTTGACAGTCTAAGGTTAAAGTTTTGGGGTTTGGGGAAGAAACCACAGTCAGGTAGAGTATTCCAGACATTGACCACTCTGTTGCTAAAGTCGTATTTCCTGCAATCAAGTTTGGTGTGGTTTACCTTGAGTTTGTATCTATTGTGTGCTCTTGTATTGTTGTGGTTGAAGCTGAAGTATTCATTGACAGGTAGGACATTGCAGTAGATAATTTTATGTACTATTTTTAGATCGGACTGTAGGCAGCGTAGTTCTAGGTTGTCTAGGTCTAAAATTTCAAGTCTGGTGGCATAAGGTATTCTGCAACAAGTAGAGGAGTGGAGAACTGTTCTTGTGAAATATTTCTGGACTTTCTTGACTGTATTAATATCCATTATGTAATGTGGATTCCAGACTGATGAGCTGCATTCAAGTATTGGTCTAGCAAATGTGTTGTATGCTCTAGTTAGTAGTGTGATCGACATAGACTTCTGCAAAGCCTTTGATTCAGTGGTACATGACAAACTGTTCCTAAAACTAAAATCTTACGGTATCTCTGGACACCTGTATAACTGGATAGAAGCATTCCTGTCAAACAGACAACAAATGGTCAAAATTGGGAGTGTCCTATCAAATTCTGTACCTGTCAACAGTGGTGTCTCCCAAGGCAGTGTTCTAGGACCAACTCTTTTCATACTCTACATAAATAACTTCTGTAATCATATCAAGAGCAACTGCGTTCTCTTCGCTGATGATGTAAAGCTATTCAACACCACAGACAATACTGCTACCGTTCAAAAAGACCTTGACTATGTATCAGAATGGTCAAACAAATGGCAACTTCAAATCTCAACAAATAAATGCTCTGTCCTACATATTGGCAAAAAAAATCAGAAAATAAAATACAGGCTGAATAGTCAAGACTATTGTTGGTGATCCAAGCTCTGTCAAGGACCTTGGAGTACTCATCTCTAATGATCTAAGTGCTAGAGCCCACTGTAACTACATAGCCAAAAAGGCATTAAAAAGCTAATCTTACGTAGCTTTTTCTCTGGTAATATTACACTACTAACTAGAGCATACAAAACATTTGCTAGACCAGTACTCGAATATAGCTCATCAGTCTGGAACCCACATTACGTATCTGATATTAACAGTTGAGAAAGTCCAGAAATATTTCACAAGAAGAGTTCTACACTCCTTATGTCACCAGACTTGAATTTTAGACCTAGAAAACCTAGAACTATGCCACCTTTGGTCCAATCTAAGTATAGCATATAAAATTATACATTGCAATGTCCTACCTGTCAATCAATATTTCAGCTTCAACCATAACAACACAAGAGCAAACAATAGATACAAACTCAAGGTTTATTGCACCAAACTTGATTTCAGGAAATACGAGTTCAGCAACAGAGTGGTCAATGTCTGGAATACCATACCTGAGTATGTGGTTTCTTCCCCCAACCCCAAAAACTTTAACCTTAGACTGTCTACTATTGACCTCACCCCTTTCCTAAGAGGTCTGTAGGGGGGGTGTATAAGCGCACCAACGTGCCTACCATCCCTGTCCTATTGTTTCTTTTATTTTTTATTTTTCTTATATGTGTCCATGTATTCATAACTTGGTTTCTACTTATGCCTATTATCTTGTAAGCAATTGACAAATCAAAATAAATAAATAAAATAAAAATTAAAAAAAGTGTTGCTGCCATTAAGATTTATTCTGAATATGTTGGTATGTTGAAGATTTATATTATCATTACCTGTGGAATGAAATTTCTTTTGAAGGATAATTCTGTCATCTAAAATGGAAATCATTGTTTCTTTTATTGTTATTATCTGAAATAGATATCCCACCCTTCAGGGCTATTAAGCACCATTGTAAAATATCTAAAGCAACCATGGGTTAGCATGATAAAGATGAAATCAGTTCAGAAGGTAGCATGAACATTTTCGTAACTTCAATAGTAATGTGAACATAGTTTCAATTCAAAAAGTTACTGTTAAAATCAATACTGTAGGTACTTGAAGGACTACTTCAAGCCCACAAGTCAGTTATTGTCTCAAAAGAAACAACAGCATTATTGTTTATGCATGAATCTACCCGAATTTTCCATGATCGTCTGGTTGATCTAGCAGAGAAAGAGACATTTTATCAATTTCTTTCAAATGAGCTCAACAATTATTTTAAAGTAAGTACAGATATAATTATAGGTATGATACATATATACGTTTTGTGAGGATTTCTTTATCATAAACATAGAATGTTTCAAGTTCAGTACACAAAATTGATTAGTTATTAATGATGCCAACATGATCTGATATATATTTGTATGCTCTTTCTCTGCCTTTCCATGAGGCAGTATGTCCAGTTTATCCTCTAAAACCTGCCAGGTTTCTAGTGTCATTTAGTATCTGAACATTCCTAACCACTTCAACATTATTTTTTCTCTAAAGGTATTACAAAAAATTTAAAACAATAAAAAATATTAAAACAATAAAAACACCCACAAAATAAGTACAAACAGCAGCCATGATGATTAATCAACTAATAGTAAAGTCAAGTAGCTGAGTTCTTAATACATTCCAAGCCCCAGAACAGATGCATACTCAAGTTTTTAAATTTTTGTGAAAAACCAACAGGTTAGGGCCATTCTAATCTCCAAAGGGAGAATTTTCCATAAGGCAGGGGCTACAGCAAAAAGTCCATCTTAAGCCTGATACTCTTTGGCTGATCAGATCTTCAGCATAACCAATCTGTTGGACAGGATTGGACAAAGAGGGGCTCTTGGAGAAACTCTTGGAGAAAGGATTTTTTTAATATGTTCTAGTGGCTCTCCTTGTCATGGTGGGATATAAATAGAATAGAACAGAATACTTTATTGGCCAAGTGTGATTGGACACACAAGGAATTTGTCTTGGTGTAAATACTCTCAGCATACATAAATAAAAGGTACATTCGTTAAGAATCAAGAATCATAACTTACAACACTTAATGATAGTCATAGGGTACAATCAACAATCAAATCATACTACGAAACAGTCAAGTGGGAGGGGATGGGTGATAAGGAGTGGTGAGAAGATTAACAGTAATAGTAGTGTACATTTTGTAAATAGTTGAACAGTGTTGAGGAAATTATTTGTTTAGCAGAGTGATGGCTTTCGGGAAAAAACTGTTCTTGTGTCTAGTTGTTCTGGTGTGCAGTGCTCTATAGCATCGTTTTGAGGGAAGGAGTTGAAACAGTTTATGTCTGGGATGTGAGGGGACTGTAAATATTTTCACAGCCCTCTTTTTGACTCGTGCAGTATAGAGGTTCTCAATTGAAGACAGGTGGGTAGTAATTGTTTTTTCTGCAGTCCTAATTATCCTCTGAAGTCTGTGTCTGTCCTGTTGGGTTGCAGAACCAAACCAGACAGTTATAGAGGTACAGATGATAGATTCAATAATTCCTCTGTAAATCAGAATACACATACATACATGCATATATACATCTTAAAGTGCAGGTCCATTGTGACTTTTTTAGTTTGTCTAAGAAAGATCTTTGTCCTAATAAAGATTTTAAATTAGAAAATTATTCTAGATTTTCTAGATTCCACCATACCTGTAGATAAAAGAATTTGTATTTGAGAATTTGTATTAACATATTTACTAATCTATACATTTCAAAATGCAGATACATAGTGACTTTTTTACTTTGTCTAAGAAAGATCATTATCCTAATAAAGATTTCAAATTACAAAATTATTCCTGTAGATTTCCTGGAAAAAGGAGAAGTTGATGGAGGAGTCTCCTATATTTGTAGATTTTCTAGATTGCACTGTACCTTTAGATAAGAGAATATACAGAAATGTCACTAGCCAGAAGGTTCTTCTTTTGACACTGGAAGAATATTATGTGAGAATGCAAACAAAAGAGTCAGAGGTAATTTTTGAAATTCTGTTTAATATTGATGTATTGTGATTGCTATGTGATGTAAGCCAATACTGTATACATGTATCTTAGGTGGTAGATGTCCCTCATAAAAATTCTTGATTTCCTCTAGTTTTCCCTATGCCCAAATAGCAGGACATAGTAGTTAAATAAAAAATGTTACATAGGTTTATCATAATTCAAACTGCAAGTCCCAGCTATACTCAAGAAAGATGGAATAACAAAGAAAATTAGAATGAATAATTCAGAATTGATAATTAATAAGTAGTTTCTTCCAGGGTCATCAATATGCAGATAACACTCCGCTTGATTTTTTAACTCTGTTGGCGTGTTCTGGAGATGCTATTGAAGCTTTGTGCCATGTCAAGGCTGTAAAGTTCTGGATGTGATGAAATAAGTTAAAACTTGGTTGGTTGCTGCTTAGAATCAATTTATGATTGAAATGTCATATATACCTGAAAGATAAATTAGCAAAATTGAACCCAAACAAAATGGAGATGCTGTTTGTTCACCAGTGTGTTCATCAGTTCTAGTATTATCTCTCAAGGGATGTGGGGAGTGATACTGTCCTAAAGGAGCAGGTGCTTGACTTAAGGACCATCACAGCTGTTGCTGGAAGTGCAATTGAAGACGGGCTGAAAGCTCAGCTACGTCTAGTACCTCAGTTGCCACCTTACCTGGAATAGGAGGACTTGGGTACAGTGGCTCATATCTTTATTGCCACTCCTGCAATATGTTCTATATGAAAAGCATTTGAAGATCACCTGGTTGGAGCAGGCAGCTTGATTGCTAAACTAGATAAGATTTTAAAAGGCATACAGAAAGTTACTGATAATCAGTGCAAGGCCCACAATAGATGTATAATATGCTAATGGTGACACTGTCAGTCAATATGGGCCACTGCAAACTGCTGTGTCTTATAAAATCCTATCTGGCTTTGCAACCAAATTGCCTGCTCCAACCAGGGTTGCCTCAGTGTCATCTGATGCAATACTTTTTGGAAAGGTATTGGTAGGATCCCATTTTCATGACGTTCGGCTGGCTGAAGTCAGGAAATACTTTTTTTTAGTTATGATGCCAATTCTTCAGAGCCACCTACTCTGGAAATAAGATTGGTTTTTTCAATATTAGTCTTGTCTGGAAGCTGAAGTCTTGTCTCTTCCAGAGAGTTCTCATTGATAGATATAATAACAATGTGTATTTAGTTTTCTCTATTTTATTTTGTTTGTTTGATGGGATGATTGTTCCATTTTGGGCTATATTTATTGTAGATGTAGTTGTTTCTGTTTTCTTATTCTATGGCTTACTTTTTTAAGCTCCTCAGATTTTTTGCAGTTTTTGTTACGAAGCGCAGTTAAATATGCACAATTATAAATATGTATATGATGGGGTTTCTATATCTTCCAACCACAATTTCCTGTGCCTTGACACAACTCTTGGGGGAGAGCCTTCTTTCTCACTAGTTTATTTGAGAATGGAAAGAGGCAAACCTGTGACTTTTGACTTAATTTTTCTGTTGCTTAAACAGGTTGCTGGGGTATATAATATTTGTCAGAATGAGAGGATTGATTCAATTAGAAATGGAGGGCTTTGGTATATATTATTAGGTTAAGGAACCAAATAGCAGTTGGAAACCCCAAAAAGAAAGGAAAGCTAAGAGAAAATACCAATTGAGTCTGCAAAGTTTATCTCAGTTTATCTCAGGATGTTTTGCTACCCAAGAATATAGATAAAAAAGCACATGACCAAGAATGAGAAAGGCAAATAACGCACATGCATGAAATAATACAAAAATTCTAACTCACATCAAGCTTGCACAATTTGTATGTGACCAAAACTTTCTAGATCACCAATTACAGATCTCTGGGAAATGAGATTATCAGGTTTTGAACCAATCCAGAAAATGTTCCACCTACTCATATGAGAGAAAAAACAATTAAAATGAGCTAGCTGTTCTCTGTTTGAAAAGCTTACCTGAGAGAAGAATAGTCTTGGTCCTGAATGTCCCTTTAGCATTAGTTTTCCCACTCTGTTTATGCCAGATCTCCAGATAAAAATGTTAGATTTTGCTTTTCCTTTAACTCTTTCATGTCTGAAAGGCATTTTGGAAGGAGGTTTCCCCATATTCCAAGGCTGTCAAACTCGCAGCCCGCAGGCCGGATGCATCACACGCTGGCCACACCCCTGCCCAGTTTAGTGAAGGGGGGAAAAGTCCCGATATGTCATGTGATACCACTGTGATGATGCAAGTTTGACACCCCTGCCCTAATCCCTACATTTCTGCTTTCTCTTTTCTTAGATCAGTATGGTATTTTTCAAAGAAGCAATACAGCATGTAATTAGAGCTGCAAGGGTTTTTCGACAACAATGTGGTCATATGACACTGGTAAGAAACTTTATTTTTAATTGGACATGTTATATAAAATGTCAATGATGTGTCTCTATTTAAAAGTAGCACATCTTAAATCAAGGTAAATTTTAAACACCATATGTCATTAAAACACCTATCACTAAGCCATAATTATTATTATTATCCTGCATTCTAAAAATTATTTAAACATTTTAATAAATGAAGATTTGCTTTAGTAAATCATTTTTTTACTTGATGTTTATCTAACATTTTTAATATTTATTAACAGATTGGATGGAATGGCAATGGAAAAGCAACCTGTGCATCCTTAGCCAGTTATATATCTGAATGCAGTATCTATAGGTTATCTACTTCCTATAATTACACCTTTGCACATTTTCAAGAGGATATTAAAAAAGTCTATAAACAAGCTGGAGCAGAAGGCAAGAGGACCATTCTTCTCATTACAGATTCAGATATAATTCAAGTAAGCCTACACAGAATATAAATTAATATACATATTAAATTTGTATCATGTTAATTAAACACTCGTTAAAAATTTTCATCTCTGTTTCTTCCTTCTTTCTTAATCTTAATATATCTGGATTGTTATCAGAGGTTAAAGGATGATTGGGAGCTGACTGCATTTTTACCAGTCTCCTAATAAATTATTAGAATAGGAACTATTAAACAGTTAACACAAAATAACTTTATAGCTGGAGCTCCATTAAAAGTGTCTGCAAAAAACCATCATTTTGTCAAAATGACAAAATCTAGATTGCTACAACCCAAAGTTATGGAGATAATTAATTGGTATTATTTTTCTTAGGAATCATTTGTGGAAGTCCTAAGTTGTATTCTGAAATCAGGACAAGTGCCCCACCTATTTGAGAAGGATGAGTTGAATAACATTATTGAATCACTTACATCAATTTCTGAAATGGCTAAGGAATCCAACAAATTGGATGATATGTATTCTTTCTTCTTACAGGTATATACTAGTTTCCTGTGATCAATGTGCTCTCTCAGTGAAATTGCTGTACCCATTCCAGCTTGAGTTCTACATTAAACAGCAGGATCCAGAGTTGTGCTCATTGAATTTAATTGTCCTATTATTAATAGATAAATCAAGCCAGGAATGTGACAAGCTGTTATTTATAGCTTTGAAGACATCATTGTCTTTTTGACTGTTGCCCATTGTGCTTATGAAGACAGAGTAAGAAATCTGATTTAATGAATGATAGAAATTTTAATTATCACCACCAAGGATGGTTTTGTATCATCTGGTCTGAAAGAAACCTAAGTTAAAAATGATCATTATATCTCACCTTTATGAGTACTAACTGATATCTCTCTGTGTTGGAAACTGAATTAATGAATTGCCTGAATCCATGTTACTTGCATAATTGAACAAAGCGGCTCGTAAAGAGAAACAACCTGTCTTTTGAATTTGGGGGCAAATATTTAAATATCTACTATCACTCTATAATTTGCAATGCAATTCTTATTTCAGTGAAATTATTTTTGCAAGTATCTACAATTACAGTCTAATAAATGATAATTTTCAAAGAAATAATTATCTTATTTGAGTTTTTACACAGTATTTTTTTTTTCTAGAGAGTACGCCACAACCTTCATATAGTTTTGACAATAAATCCTACAGGACTGGTTTTCCGTCAGTATTTACAGATATATCCTGCCATTGTGAATTGCTGTACAGTAGACTGGTACGAAAATTGGCCTGAAGAGGCCCTTTGCCATGTAGCAAAAAGTTATTTTAGCCAAAGTGAGACATTTAGAAATGAGGTATGATGTGAATGTATTTTATCAAAATAAAATCTATAATAAGTTATTCTCACTTATGAACTCTGGTTGATCGACTGAAGCTGTTTGTGAATTGTGATAACTCATTTTAAAGACTGTAGGAAAACATTGCAATGAGTTTCGGCAATCATAACTAAGTGGGGTTCTAGGGCTCATGGAAAATGTTGGGGAAAACAAAATGCCTGATACAACCACTGCTTTGCTCTGAGCAAGCACAAATTACCAAATCACCATTATACAAAACCTACACAATTTGGCTCATCTGCTCCTTGTCTGGATTTGGCTGGCTGGAAGGTAGTGATAGCAGCAGAAAGCTACTGTGATTAAGTATAGATTAATTCTCATTCCATTTTCAGCTATACCTGTTAGTGGGTAATTTGCAAAACCATCTTCTATAGGAATTTCATTTCTCTGCTGAAAAATGTACTCTACCAATAAGGCTGTGGCTATTACTGTAAATCGTAACAATTCATAATTTTAGAACAGATGCATTTAACTGAATGAATGTTGATGGTATGCAAAAAAAAAAACCTGGCAATCTCAAAATATTTCTAAAATGTAAGTTTACACCAAAGAGGAGAACACAAACATTACAGGTAAATCTCATCACCAAGGAATTAGAACTTTTACACTCAGCAGCCTCACCTTCCCGTGTGGAGGGAAGAAAAGGAACAACAAAGAAGAGAGAACCAATACAAACTGATGAGCATGAACAAGAAATTACTGAGTACATTATAATAAATTTCAACTCTCAAATTGAAATGTACATTGTATAAAATATGTGGTCTTTTCATTTGTCTTTACAGAATGTAAAAGTTACTCTTATCCCTATGACTGTTAATATTCACAAGAATGTATCTATAATAATTGAGAAATACTTGAAGGAAACTAAAAGACACTATTACATCACTCCCAAAAGTTACTTGCAGTTTATAAATACTTTTTCCACAATGTTGAGGACCACAAAAGAGAAAATGCTGAGTGAAAGGTAAATATAGTTGTATGTGTTTGTAAAACAGCACCACAGAAAAGTTTTCAGAAAGAATACTATTTTATAAAAATGTTTCAGGTGGATTAAAATGTTTAACAATCCCAAAACATAGCAGCAATTTTGTTGAAAGTCAGTTGCAATCAGTGGGTGGGTTAATACACTCTTCCTGGAAGAGGAGAATTTTTCCATGGCAAATTTGAGCATTTCACTGCCAACAGATTCATGATAGGGTGAACATTAGCTACAATGTGATTTGATTATTGTGCCATTCATCCTTTGGTTAATGTATATTTTATACATTCATCTCTGGTTAGTGTATAAGATTGTTGAGGAGTTATTCTGTAAAATATCATAGAAGCAATGGACTTAATATCAATAAAACGTTTTATAAATTATCTATAAAACATATATAAGATATTTACAATTCTGGGCACAGTGCTTACCATAGTTTTTTCATGATAGACTTTATAAAGTTGGCATGTGTAGCTTTACTGAAAGTCTTCTATGCACTTAGCATTTAATATAAGGTAGTTTGTTTAGGAGTTGAACAGATAGGATAGGAAAGGTAAAGTAAGGTAAGGTAAGATAAGATAAGAGAGAGTCCAGAAGTATTTCACTTGAAGAGTACTCCACTCCTCAGCTTGCAATAGAATACCTTATGCCACCAGGCTTGAAATTTTGAACCTAAACAACTTAGAACTACGTTGCCTACAGTCTGACCTAAGCTTAGTACACAAAAATGTCTGCTTCAACATCCTACCTGTCAGTGAGTACTTCAGCTTCAACCACAATAACACACGGGCAGACAATAGATACAAACTCAAAGTAAACCACTCCAAACTCAATTGCAGAAAATACAGCTTCAGCAACAGAGTGGTCAATGCCTGGAACTCAGTACCTGACTCTGTTGTTACAGCCTCAAACCCCCAAAACTTTGACCTTAAACTGTCTACCGTGGACCTCATTCCATTCCTAAGAGGTCTGTAAGGAGGCGTGCATAAGAGCACCAGCATGCCTATTGTCCCTGTCCTACTGTTCCCATTTATTCGTACTCATTTATTAAGTATATACTTATACCAGTTTATACTTATATGTTTATATGTTATGTTCATCCTTATACTTGTTTTCTCATACGTGCTTGATAAACTAAATAAATAAGATGTCTTTTTTTTTTAACTGTGAGCATACTGGTCCACATTAAAAATGAAATTCTGTTGCCTGCTCTCAAGAGAAAGTATAATCTACATAAATATATAACTGCACTCCCCACCCCCACCCCACACACCCCCACACACCCCACACGAATCACTGTTTATTTTGAATACATAGCAAATTAATATATTATGTGACTATCTGGCCTTGGTATAAGTAGATTTTAACTCTTATGTTTTTATTTTAGAGCTTGCTATCATTCTGGTTTGACAAAAATCTTGGATGGAACTTCACAGATTGCAGATATGCAAGATGAATTGCTTGTCCTTGGACCTCAGATAGAGTCAAAATCAAAGGTATATTTAATTCATAAGTGTTCTTCCCACACCCTAAAAATACTGAATAATTTCCTATCAGATCTCAAGTAAGATGTTAGAATTTATAAAATTAATTGACACTGGTATAATTGTTTATAAAACTTACAATAGTATAACTATTATGTGAACTCAGTTTATGGTGCATTAGATATTTCGGAAGAAAGAAAGAAAAAAAGACTAAAGGAACTTAAGTTGGTGTAAAAGAAATAACATTTGGAATCCATTTATGATAATACTATGTAGTGGAATACCTGATTTCATAATATAGAAGGCTGGAAATTTCAAATATCTTCTCCCAGAGGGCCTCATGGTCTTCACATACTGATTCTGCCTCCTGCTCCATTGTATTGTATTAGCTTATATATTCCTACAGCTATCATCTATCATTTAAGAGTTGCCTTGCGTGGCAAATTCTCCCTAACCACATAATTTAAGAAAGACAGCAATCTCACTTTTCTGGTGATAAAAAGGTAAAATTCCAAAAGTAAAATAATTTTAATAGTGTAAAAACCTGGCTGTCGCCGTAGAAGTATGTGACTAAAAGATTAACCCCTTTCCCCCTTCCTTGGGAGACAGACCAAAAGATTATTTATTCATCTATTTTTTTAATTATGCCACTTATATAGCTGCCCATCTACCAGAAGGAATTCTGAGTGGTCAACAGAATAACCACACAGAAGACTAAAAAGATTTTTAAAACGGGTTAAAATGTTGAGGCCTTGAGAAGATTCACATTCAAAATAACTGTTCATAATGGCAACTCAAAAGAAAAGTTTACTACAAATGGTTTCTTTGACAGGAGATGTTGCAATTGATATTTTAGAATATACAACAAATATCCATTGCAGCCTGAATTATCCATAAAAACTGAAAATGTTAGGAATGTAAGTCACCTAACAGCTATTTGTGTTGGAAATATATAAACCAGGATAGACATTTTAGAACTGTATCTTTAAGAAAATGCAAAAAATTGTAATTGGGTGTGGTTTCTCAAACGGCCATAAGATGGAGCCAGAAACCTGGGTTGTTTTAGTCTTAGTCTCAAAAGAGTCTCAATGAGTGTGTGAGTCTCTGTTTTCCCTCTGTTGGAGAGTTTTGCCGTTTTTTTCTAATCCTAATTCATGGATTTGATGTAAGTCTGATACTGAACTGTTTTTTGATACTGGACTTTGTTATTGGATTATCCCTGGACTCAAAACTGACTGATTTAACTGTGAATGAATTTGGACTACCTATTTTGAAGTTTGCTTAAACTTTCTGGAAGTAAAAACCTACATTTACTGTACAGTGTATCTGTGTGTGTGTGTGTGTATTATTCAAACACTTCTCTCAAATACGTCTCCCTGTATGCGCTCATTCTCCTAACAGGGAATTACCTCAACACTGGTTATGGGCCCAGGCCATGCCAGACTCAGATAACCGAGAGTTGGTGTGAATACACAGTACTGTATACTGTGTATTCTGTTTACTGTTTAATTGTTGTTTACTATCCTGGTAAAGATGGCACAATTCACTTCAACAAGTCTATCACTGATAACCCAGTTGGATAGAACAAAGTATGTTTCCTGGTCTATGAAATGCAGTCTACTTCTGCGTAGAGAAGGGTTATGGAATGTAGTTCAAGACCCACTGGATGTAAATACTTGGGATCCAGCTAATGAGGATGATGCCAAGAAGCTTGCTGACTTTAAACAGAACAACGAACGAGCTCTTTGTATAATTGGACTAACACTGAGTGACCAGCAGCTAGTCCATATTCGTGGAGTCTGCTGCTAGGTGTTGGGAGAATTTGAAGAGGATTTATGTTCGTGACAGTGTAGGTGCACACATACATCTTACACGTAAACTGTTTAGAGCACATCTTTTGAAAGGTGGAGATATGTTAGCTCATTTAAACTTCATGAAAAGAACTTTTCAAGAGCTACATGAAAAGGAACTGATTTTTTCAGAGCTGCATCAAGTTTACATCATTCTTTTTCCTCATTGGATGAAAATTATGATGATTATGATAGGCACAGGAGGAGGTAGAAGAACAGGAGCAAGTGGAACAGGAGAGTCCACCAGTAAGCCCTGAGTTGCCTAAATGTTCAACCCATGTAACACGACCACCTGATAGATATCAGGCTAGTGTTGTATGCCAAGTAAATACAGTTCCAAGTAACTATAGTGAACTAAAACTGTATCCTCCTATGGATCAGGCTGCTTGGCAGAAAGCAATGGATAAGGAACTGGAATCATTAAAAGACTGGAGGTATATGAAAATGTTAAGTTACCACCAGATAAACATGCCATAGGATGTAAATGGATATATAAGCTGAAGACAGGTGTAGATGGGACTGTTACCCATAAAGCCAGGTTAGTAGCACAAGGGTTCAATCAGACAGCAAATGACTATGATGAGGTGTTTGCACCTAGTGTGAAGGCTACTACATTAAGAGCAGCATTAGTGTGGGCAGCTAAGGAGAAATACATTGTAAATCATTTGGATGTAGAGACGGCATATCTGCATGCACTGTTGCAACACACTATATATTTAAAGAAACCTTTAGGTCTCAAAAATAATAATACTGACTGAATGATTGTTGGAAATTGAAAAAGAGTCTTTATGGTTTGAAGCAATCAGGATATGAGTGGAACCAATGTATAGTTAAAGAATTAACTAAGATAGGCTTTGTAGCTGGCATGGCTGATTTTTTTTTAAAAAAAGAAAGTAATGGTGTAATTTCATTGTTGCTATTGTTTACTAATGACATCGCATTAATCACCAAAACTGAACAAGAATCTACTAAAATAATCTCACTGTTAGAGAAGAAATTTAAAATAAAACAATTAGGAGAAATCAAACAATATCTTGGTTTAAAGATAGATAGAACTAGGGGAGGAAACAAGATCTCACAGGCAGATAAAATTAATCAATTACTAAAGAATTTTAAAATGGAACTTTGTAAACCGGCTAAAACACCAATGAGCCAGGAGTTTAGCCATAGTGATGTTCAAAGTCCTGTTTTTGATAACAACATTTATCAGTCCTTGATTGGTAGTTTATCTTATATCAGTAATTGGTCAAGACCAGATATTGCATACAGTGTTAATCAATTAGCGAGATTTAACGCTGAGCCAACTGAAAGGCACTGGCAAGCTGCTAAATGTGTGTTAAGATATCTGAAACAAACAATGCATTATGGATTGTATTTGGAGCCAAAAGATGAACTGAGTTTAACTGCATATGCTGATGCAAGTTTTGCTACAGACATAAATACACGAAAATCTACATCGGGTACTGTAGTATTATTGGGGAAAGTATTGATTGGATGGAGGTCTATTAGTTTGTCAACAATGGAGGCTGAATTCTCATGTTTATCTTTATTATGTACAGATTTAGTTTTGTATAAGCAACTACTAATTGACATGGGAATTGATGTAACAGATTCTATTGTTGTGGCTTCAACAGCTTCAACAGAGTACATTTACAACAGTATAAAACATGCAGAATATGTTAGATATTTACATACTCACCTCTGATTCTATTGTTGTTATTTACTGTACAGTGTATCTGTGTGCTGTGTGTGTATTATTCAAACACTTCTTTCAAATACGTCTCCCTATATGCGCTCATTCTCCTAATGGGGAATTACCTCAACAGAAACCACCCATAGTTCACTAGAACAGGCAGGGGCTGGAGATATTCTAACTTCACACCTTGTGTAGTAACAGAGAGTATCTCCTTTTCAAGGATGTATGTTGTAAGTATAAACTACTGAGAATGTGTATTTGTATGTGTGAATTAGCAGCTTCAACAGAGTACATTTACAACAGTATAAAACTTGCAGAATATGTTAGATATTTACATACTCACCTCTGATTGGTTGGTCCATGGCGGTGGGAATTTGAAGAGCTGTCACTGGTTGTAGCCGCAAGCAGCCCTGCTGTAAAAGGAGCTGCCACAGCTGCCACTTTCAGTTCTGCAATAGCGAAATAAATGAGTTAAACTGATTGGAGACTCCCATGTTTTCTCTCACCCATGATTTATCACTGGCAATGAAGGTGGGATTCTGAGACATGTGGGACCAGTAAGCATGTGGCGGCGAACTGACAAGAACCGAACAATGGCCAGAAGCAACACATCATCCACACTGTTCGGTCTGACAACCGAAGACTGGGAATCGTACATCGACCAATTCCACATGTTCTTGGAAGGAGGGGACCTGATGAACATTTCGGAGCACAGGAAACAAGCCGTATTCCTCACCCATTTTGGACCTGCCATTTTCAAAATGGCCAAAGCCCTCTCGGCATCCAACAATGTGAAAACGATGGCATGGCCGGATTTAGAGAGAATCCTGAGGGCACACTACATGCCATCATTGTCCTGCCTAATCAAGAGGCACGAATTCTACTGGAGAGACCAGAAGGAAGGCGAGAGCATCGGTGATTTTGTTGTGAGCCTGAGGGACCTTGCTGGAACGTGCGAATTTCTAAACATGGATGAGGCAATGAGGGATTGTGTAGTCCTGGAACTCAGAGACCTGATGCTACAGAGCCGGCTCCTGACAAAGCCCAAAATAACTCTAAAAGAGGCTATCGAAGAAGCATTGGCCATGGAAGCATCACAGAAATCCGCCGCAGCCATAAGGAAGGTGAAGAGGATGGAGCAGCCCACACCTAAGGAAACTGCCACCGTCCACCATGAGGACCTCGAATCCGAGTCCGAATCAGACGACGATGAGGAAATAAACCAACTCCGTACAAAAAGACACCCAAAAACCTGAGAAGGAAAGAGGAAGGACTTCTGGTATGCAGGATGCGAAGGAAATCACCTCAAATCAGAGTGCTGTTTCCGCGCCGCTATCTGTCAATGATGCGATTGGCAGGGAGTCATCGCAAGGGCATGCTGTGCATCCAAACCCAACAACAGGAGACAAAGGCAAGGCACACTGCCACAGAGCTGAGAAAACCAACCCGAGAGCCGACAGAGCCAA